CCTGGAAATAAAGTCCCCATGTGCAGACTGTCCAATCAGAGTCAGCTAATGGTAAGCCTAATGTTTGAAGGGCTGGTGACCCAGTCGTCCCAAGGAGGCTTGAATGTTCATCTCAGCGCTCTGCTGCTAATGCCATTGTCAAGGTGGTTTCAGCTGCCCTTGTGGCTGGTCAGGACCAGGGGACAGATCTGGCCAATGTACCAGAGCTGAGTGGTAATGTACCATCTCCTGCTGAAGCATGGAGTGCCTGTTGGCATTACCACCATCCTCTTCTCCTTCTGTAGTGACTTCAATGCCACCTACATGGTTCAGGAGAGCAGCCATACACAGGCCACGGTCACCATCTCAAGCACCACAGAAAAGCAGAGATGGAGGCCAGGCCAGCAATACACCTCTTCCTGTTACAGGCCTTCATTGTTTCCTAAGATTCTTCCCCTCCTGTGAGTAACCATGTCCCCAAACCTTTTCACCCACCTGTCCCCAGGGTGCCTAAGTGATATATGCAAGATGCAAGGAGGGATTCTCAGAAGGTGCCCTGAGCAAGAATGGTCAAAAGCATATGTGTGTGGGGGTGTGTGTGCAGGGTGCGGTCCAAATGTAAAGATCCTTACTAGAGCTCTGGGGGTCACAGGAATCAGTACCACACAGTGGCTGAGCCCATAGGATGAAGAGACAAGTGGAGCTAATCTCAAACCCCAGCCCTGCTGCTGACTCCATTTTTTTCCAGAGCCTTATTATTCCACCTATAAAATGGGAACAAATTAGCTAAAGCCCCCAGTAAAAAGAGATGATGCTGTGTGGTCTAGCCCTGACTCATAGGAACAGTCTCACAGTGTCTGTACCAGGCAGATATCACTGTTAAGATCACCTAGAGCAACAGTCTTCGTGGGGAAGAGGTGTAGGTGCAGCCTGGACCGTCCCCTCCCAAGCAGCCTGAGGAAGCTTCCCCAGACAGGACAGTGGACATAGTCCCAACTCTGCAGACCTCAGACCTGGCCCAACCCACATCCAAAGAGGAATCAGGGTCAGCTGGGCAAAATGCAACCCATAGAACCCAAGAGCATTTATCTGAAAGTCCAAAGTGTTTTAGAAGAAGAGCCGTGGCTGGGGTGATTTTGGAAGCTGTCCATCAGGCCAGCTTCTCATCAGCACAGGTGGTCTTGGTACCCAGTTACAATGGGAAGCAAAGTGGAGGGGGAAGACTGGCAGATAACGGCTGAGGGACTAGACATTACCTTGGCTGTCCTGCAACAGGGACAGGGCTACTATAAGAATAACCACCGGGAAATACACAGCCCTAGTGAGGCAAGAAAGGAAGAAAACAACTGGACAACCAACCTATTCACATCGTCTCCCATCCCTAAACTACAATGGGAAGGTGCCAGTGTTTGCTGTGTGCTAGCTACAGTACCAAGTATTTTACCAGGATTGTTTCACTGACGGTCCACTACAGTCTGATGGGAGATCTTGTTAATTCCATTTTATAGAAAAGGAAAGACACCAGAAGTTGAGTGACCTAAAGTCACATAATTGACAAGCAGGGTAGACAGCATTTATACCCAAGTACTCTAATCGCCATGCAGTGGTTTTTCTACGCAAATAAAGAGTCTGAGGTTCAGAAAGGGCAGTGACTTAGCTGAGGCCACACAGCCTCATCTATGATAGATCAAGCCTCCTAATTCCTGGTTCTCTGATTTGTCTGCTCTATCGCAACTAAATTTCTGGGTGTACACACAAACCTTCCACTCAGGAGCCTGTTTCTGCTTAGTTCCAACCCAGAGACTAGGCTAGAGAGAGCAGGACAATCAGGGCCCCAGAGTCTAGGCTAGAGAGAGCCCTAGGATAGTCAGGGTCCTGGAGTCTAGGCTAGAGAGAGCCCTAGGATAGGGCTGCAGACCTGAGACTCACCATCTCATTCTGTCTTTCTTTGTAAAAAAAAAAAAAAAAAAACAAAAAACAAAAAACAAAACCACTTGTGATCGGTCCCCCTCCATCATCAGATGGAACACTGACATTACTCCAAGGTGCCAGCCTGTGGGGCAGGAGGAACCCAAGCTGGCATGTTTGCCTAAGAGCAAAGTTTGTAGAGACCCTGATCAGTTGGCATCATCTGTTCCCTGGGACCAAGTGCTGGGTTCTGAACTCTCTTTGTGGGGTCCCAGCTGAGCTCAAACAATAGTTCCTGATCTCCCTTCTCAGTGGCTGATGAAATGGGCCAGAAGAGCAGCCCTCTGGATAGGCAGTCCAGCCTCAGGCCCTGGCTTTTCCCAGGGAATGGGGACTGACAGGCAACCAGAGACAGACACCTGCACTGGCTGGTGTGACACTCCCAGAAGGGAAGGTCACGACATTACCCTCTCTCTGCTTCCAAACTGCCCCCAAACGCCAGGGTGTGGCTTTGGTCCACACAAGCTGAACAACTATGCCTGGGGGTGAGCCCACTGGGTTCTAGTACCAGAGGCCAGCAAGAGGAGGCCAAACAGCCTGGAGAAGAACCCCCTGCTGGACTAGAGGCAGCGTCCAGCATGACTGTCCAGATCACCAAAAGGCTTCCCTGGATTGAAGTCACAAGGCCCCTCCATCTCCAGAGCTATTTATAGACAGGGAAGCAGGGTCACAAGGGGAAGGGTCTCATCCAAGGCCTCACTGATAAACTGGCTGGCTGGATTTCAAATCTGCTCTTTTCCCTCTACCAGCCCCTCCCACAACCCCCACAACCCCTTGACTCCAAACCCAAACAGCCCCGAGCCCAGAGCACTGAAACGTCATTTAGTTAAGTAGGGAGCTATTTCCAAGCTGATGTGGAAGTTATTAAAAGGTTGGGGTTCTTTCTAGATTCATACCAAGATGTCCTACATGCACGCCCAGAGGTCCACTTCTACAATGCTCCCTGGAGCATCCATGATTGATTGGCATTTTGGATTTGGGGACAGAGAAGACAAAGAAATGGGCCCAGGTTTGGATTATTGCTAAGTCAGAGACTGGGGAATTTACCTGGAGTCAGAGACATGAGCAGCCCTAGAGGGTGGACAGCCTATACTCTCTTCAGTGTGGAGGTTGGGGTGAGTAGGGAGCAGAGAGCGGAGACAGCACCCCAAACCCGCAGGCCGTAGAGTGGGGGACAGGCCAATACCCAGGTTCCAAGGGTGAGGGTATCCTACCAGGCTGCCTGCACACACACACACACACACACACACACACACACACACACACAGTCACTAAAATAAAACAAACCAAACACTTCTTTTGTTTTCTGGCTCCTGGAATGCCTTAAAGACAGATCCAGAGACAAGGCTTCCACACCCTTTCCTTTGCCTCTTTGCCTCGACCCTGTGATTCCACAGAAGCCAGGCTGAAGTCTGATCTCACTGACAGAAACTTTGTCCTGCACTGAGGTGCTGGCTGGCTACATCTACTAAACACACATGGCTGAAGGCAGGACCCCATCTGCCTCTTGAGGGCTGAGGGGTCATTCCCATCACCTTGCAGGGGTTTGTGGGGCAGCTGGCATGGTGAGCACGAATTCCTAGCAAGAACACGCAAAAACTTCCAGTCACTCTGAAGCCACCATCTCTGGTGAGCTCATCAGTACTCTCTCGGGGTGGAGAGAAAAGAGACAGACGAGTTTAGAGAGAAAGATGAGGCACAAGCCCCCCCCCCCAGAGTCCCCTCGATATGAACAGCCCTTCACACAACCAAGATGACACTTTCTACAGACTCCGGAAGTCAGCATGTCCCTTCCCACAGGGACGATAGAGGAGTCTGGGAAGAAAGGCAAGTTTTCACCAATACTTCGGAGGTGATCAGACAGATTGTGTGTGGAACCCAGGAGATGGGGTGCTCTCCGTGATGGCTGGGGAGTGTGACCCTTCTGATGGAACTATAGAAATTCCTAAGGAACCCCACCACCCACCCAATGTACCTGTGCCCAGAAAGAGGATGAGTCCTGCCCACCACGCCCAGCGATCTGCCCGGACCAGGACAAAGGGAGCCACTTTTACAAAAAGGCTTGGGTTTCAGTAACTTCAAGTAAATCCCAACCAATGTTCTATCCCATTGTTTCAATGCCAGCTCGCTGTCCATGTAAAGTTTCTTTTGTTTTTGTTTTTCTGGGTGTAAATTGTTCGCTCATCCTTGCCAGCAGAACATGAAAAAGCATCTCATGACACTGATCCATCTGGTCGTCGCAGAGGCACCCCACCCTCCTCCGGATTCGCTGGGGCAAGGTGGGGCGCTCCTCCAGACAGACCCCGCGCACGTTGCAGTGGTGCATGCATCTGCGGAGCTGCGGTCTGCTAAGATCCTGGGCTGGTCTGGGAAGCCGATGGGGCCAAGGAAGTGCTCCCCCTGGCGACGCAACAATCCCAGCGTAAGCAGGACGCTGATCCCGCGCGCGCCCAACACGGCCAGCCACGCTGGGAACCCGCGGCCACCACACCCCACATCTGGCCGTGGGACCTGCCCGTCAGCCTCCTAGGTCTCCGCATCCACAAAGCTGCACACCTTCCGGCTCAGGGAATGATAGCCCGGGTGCGGAAGCAAATTCAGGCGCGCTCTCCTGGCCGGCCACCAGGGTCCCAAGTAGGCGACGTGCGCTCGGTGCCCCGGCACTGCCGGGGATCCGCCGCGCCCAAGCCCGGTTCCAGGTCTCCCTTGGAAACCTGTCCGCGCTCCGGGTCACCTGGACTCACCCCTTCCCTCCCGGCACATCACCGGCCGACACTCCGGACCTGAGAGTCCCACCTGCCGCCCTTTTGTCGCCTGAGCCCCCAGGATCAACGGGAGCAGAATGGCTGCACCTGACCCGGGCGAAGTCCGAGACCCGGGGCGTGCTCGGGGTCACAGGAGGAGGCACTGTCCCCGCCTCCAGGAGAGTCTCAGCAGAACTTGGTGGCCGCTTCCCCGAGCGCCCTGAAACCCACACTGGTCCGAGATCTCCCCTGGAACGCGCGGGGTCCCTGCGCCAGTACGCACAGAGGGGTACAGTGGTCCAGTCCTACCTGGCAGAGGCCCGGCCACGGGGGAAAGTTTCCCCGGGCGCAGAGTGCGCTCGCAACTTGCGGGGCGCCGGCAATCCTGCACGGTGGCACTGGGCTAGGCGACGAGGAGCGGCGACGCCCGCTGGGGGCCCGGGGCCGAGAGGCCTGGCGCTGCTGGGCTTCGGAATAGCTGGGAGCTGTGTCCGCCTGCAGCCTGCAGCCCTTGAGACGCCGGCGGCAGCTGCAGCCGCTCGCCCGCCACCGCCGCCGGCCACACCTCCCGCCACCCTCCGGCCCGCCCTCCCGCTCCCTCCGCCCTAGCCTCCGCCCCTCTGTCTCCTGTCGCCACTACTGCCGCCGCGGTGCTGACGCGCACGGTGCTGACCTGGTCCTTCCCTCCCCACTGTGGCTCTCTCACCCGGTCCTAGCGCGTGGTCTCTGGAGTCGAGCTTTCCCCATGGCCCCTGTACCCCTCCCTAAGCCTTCTCCCCATGCTCGCTCGTTGTTGGAATTTAAGAGATTGCTGGAGGAGGGAGAGGGTGGCACCCCAGACTAGGACATTTATTCCTGGGGAGCTTTCTCGGTGTCACCAGCACCCTTGGGTGTGACTGCAGGGCTGAGATGTGGGATCCTCCATTGCGACGTTGCCCCTTGGTTTTCCACTCACTGCCAGGGAAGTCTCTGATGGGAACCTGGGCAGCAGGCACTGTTAAGGCTCATTGCTGGTACTGCCTCTGGCCTGGTGAGCCTTCCCAACTCCATCAGCTGTAAACTATGGCACTGCTAAGGACCAGACCTGAGGATCTCATCCCACCCACTTCCCCACCCTGCACAGGGCACAGCTAACCTACGCCACAAGCGGGAAGGTGTGCAGCTCTGTGGATGCGGAGATCTAGGAGGTTGACTGGCAGGTCCCGCATTGGGGGGGGGGACGACGACGACGACGACGACGACGACGACGACGACATACAAAATTCACAAGCAGGCATATAAGAATCACAACCTAACAGAAACTGCCACGAGAGGACTCAGATTACAACTCCTGTTGCCTAACTGGCAGCAGTTATCAGTGCCCAGCTTTGACACTTCTACACCGAACAGTCTTGTGTGGACGGACACACACACACACACACACACACACACACACACACACACAGGCATTAAACTACACTCTGAAAGAGACCTCAGACTTCTTGGCCCACTAATCTCACTCAGGAAAGACACAGACCGCCTTGGATGTGAAAGTTGGTGCCCTCAGGATACAAGACTGAGTTTTGAAGGACAAACAAAAAGCCTTGGCCTATCCTTGCCCACAGTCCAAGTCTAAGGTCTCAGGGCTAGAACCGCTTCACAGAGCCAAGAGAGAGGCCAAGGAGGGATTGCTAAAGGGGCATGCAGCTTGAGAACAGGTCTGGATTCTGCTCTCCAGTGGGCCTGCATGGGTATGGGATTCTGTCAACATATAGACACCTCTCCAGCTTCCCACACAGGGTCAAGGGGAGGCTGACCCCTCTAGCTGAGAACCCCTGCAGGCCCTGAACTCAAGGATGCTTCTGTAAAAGACTGCTGGCCTGGGCCTCCTGGGACCACAGAGAGAGGTACCACAGAAACTCAGTGAGAATCAAGCCTTGAGTGGGGGCCTGGGCTTGACCAGAGGGTGGGGCTTTGGAAGACTTAGCTCTGGTAAGAGCTGGCAGAGTGGCGTGGGGAAGACGGCACCGGTTGGGGACCAGTAAGATGGCTCACTGGCTAAAGGTGCTTGCCACCAGGACTGACAACCTGAGTTGCACCCCAGAACCAACTGAGTAGATGAAGGCAGCACAGGCTGGCTGCACAACTCACACCCAAGGGGGACAGCGATCCCAGCTCTAGGCCTCAGTCTCCTGCCTCCTGCAGAACGTGGACCTGGCCGGGCCCCAGGGTGAAGGCTGCCTGCTTAATGGCTTTCTTGAAATCAGCACTTATTTTATATTTTGTTTTACTTAAACGAGTTTGTTTTTAAACAGTGATATGTTATACCACAGCCATAAATGGAAAAGCAGCGTCGGGTTGCTATAAATAGAGGGCTATCATAAAACAAATACAGTGTGAATAAAACGGTGTCATTAAACTGCAACAATGGATCTTCAGTCACAATAAAAGAGTGTAACAAGATCCCACTGGCTCTTTTTCCTGAGAAGGGCTGATCACTCCCAGGCTTATTCCCTCCTGAAGATCAGCGAGGAGCAGAAAGAACCCAAAGCAACCGACTTGGGACGCCCTCACATCAGGAAATGTGATACCTATATAGCTGAGGCAGAAAAATACTCTTTTCTCCCCCCAAATAGGGAACCCTGAAAGTTTAGTCTCGGGAGACGTAAAGGCACACCCCGCTGCTGTGAGAGCTAGTCTCCTGCTCACAAAGCGATCTCCATCTTAATGCTTCCGTGTGTAAAGTTCAGCAAACAACCTGAGGAATCCCTTTAACCATTCTATCAAGAGAACAAGAAAATTCCCAGAACTGTGGGAGTCTATCTGGAGTTTCCAGGTAGGCAAAGGAATGTTCCAAGAAGATAGAATGGGAAGGAGAGGCAGGCCAGGGGTGAGGTGGAAGGGACAGCCAGCCTTGACCTAGTGGAGCTCAGGTTAGCATAGACCCAGGAGCAGCCTGGCTCAGAAGGTTCTAGATTCTTCATTGCCCACTCCAAAGAAACCTTGTGGAGAATTCATTGTAGTCAAGCTGTTTCATTGTCTAGATGTGGATGCTGAGGAAGCATGACAGGCTGGACAGATGGGGAGCCTGGTGATGACCGGGGCCTCCTGACTCCTAGGCCAGGACCTCTTAACTCCTGTTTTAAGGAAGGGTGTGATAGTTAATATTGTCAATTCGATAGACTCTAGAATCATCTAGGTCCTAGGTTATAGGAGATGAATCTCTGGTTATGTCTATGAGGGAGTTTCTAAATTGGGTTCATTGAAGTGGGAAGGTCTGTCTTAACTCTGGGCAGCTTCATCCCATGGGCTGGGGTTCTTATTATTATTCAGAATAAGAAGAAAGAGATCTGAGCACCGACGTTCATCTCTCTCTGCTTCCTGATGGTAGATGAACATGACCAGAGGCCACACCTTCCCCACCGTGTCCTCCACGATGGACCGTCCCTTCAAACTATGAACCCTGCTTCCTCAAGCTGCTGCTGTCATGGCAACAGGAGAGTAATACAGGAAGTGTGGGAGACATGGATTTTGAAAATACTCACCTGTCTCCCAAGGAGTTCTTCAAAGTTCTTTTCTCTGACACTCACAAGAAGAAAAAACCCAAAATGTCCCATTGGCCTAAAAGCCTCAAGTCTGTCAGATTCAGCTTGGGCTAGACAATTCAGGTGCCGGGGCTCAGGCCCTGGACACGGCACAGCTGGAGCAAGCATCTGCAGTGACATCCTACACTAAGAGCCCTGAACCAGCAGCCTGCAGCCTGCAGCCTGGAGCTCTGCCCTCACCAGGCCTCAGTGCTCCCAACTGGCAGATGAAGCCCCGGACATGAGCATGGGTTCTGAGTGGGTTGTCAGGCCCTGCTCCAGTACCCCAAGAATCATGAAAAAGGGCAGAAATGCCACCTCCTTCTTCCAGTTCAACTAGGTCCCTTAGTCATTGGCTCTGTGCCATGGTAATCCACTTGAGATGGAAAAGAGCATGTGTCCTTTACAAGGAAAAGGTTTGAAAGCATAGGAAAAAATGGCCAGTGACTCCAGCTTTGTTACATTAAGGCCACGAGACAGTAAACCTTTTACTTACTGGGGAGTGCTGTCTTAGGTCTCCAGCACCCTCAGTGAAGGCTGCCCTCAGACATTTGCAGAGAATCCCAACTGTGCTGCCTGGAAGATGTCACTCAAAGGCTCTGATCTCTCTCTCTCATTCTCTTTCTCATTCTCTCTATTTCTCTCTCTCTCTCTCTCTCTCTCTCTCTCTCTCTCTCTCTCTCTCTCCTCTCCTTGTGTGTGTGGGGCAGGGCACACACACCCCAGAACACTCATGGCTGTCTCAGGACTACTTTGTGGGCTCAAATTCTCTCCTACCTTTACATGTTTCCAGGGATCAAACTCAAGCTGTCAGGCTTCCTTCAGTAACATTTTACTTACCAGCCCAAACCACCCGATCTTCCCAAAGACACCGTGGTGACCACCCTTCTGGCATTGACGATGGGGAGGCTCTCAGGGAAATCTTTGTCACACGGTACACACAGGTAAAGCTAAGCCTGGAGGACACCTGACAGCGTAAGTTGACCTAACCCTAACCCCCAGGTGTTTGACCTTCCAATCTAATCTAGCTTTCCCAAGACAGTCTGCACTTGAAAATTTTAATCATTGCCTCCTTTTCCCCTCCAAATTGTCTCCTTTTATGTGTAATTTGCAATCATTTCCCAAAACATTGGCAGTTCATTAAGTGTACACCCAAGAGTGATTGCATTTGTTTATCTTTCCAAAGCCTCTCACAGAAGTGAATCCCTGGGTCCCAAGAACATGCTCTGAGTTTGGAGGGTTGTACTCTTGCGTTTTCAGGTCCTGGAGCAATTGTCAACCCTGGGCTTTCTCCCCTTCTCCCGATGCACTGCTCCGGACAGTCCAGCCAAGTCCTGGAGATTTTAGCACAAGTCCCCAGGGCCCCCT